AAGTTTGTGAGCCATTTTCCTAAGATAAATTTCTCTATATATACATATGTATAGGAGCTCTGGTAGCATAGTGGCTCAGGCACTTGACTGCTAACCAGAAGGCTGGCGGTTCAAATCCACCAGCCACTCCTCGGAAGGAAGATGGGGCAATCTACTTCCATAGTGATACTGCCTAGGAAACCCATAGAGGGGTCACTGTGAGTTAGGTCCGACTTGACGGCACACAACAACAACAACAACAAATGCGTATTTAACTATTAAATTCCCCAGAACTGGTAAAATTTACTTACTGCTGACCATTGTATTTATTAAACATCAGATGTTTACTAGGGGCCTGCATAGTCCTGGATAAGCCTTCCACTCATTGTTTATGTTACTGTCAATACATTTTATCATCTTGTTTTTCCTTCTGTACACCTAGTTGTCCACCACTGGTATCAGTAAAACAACCTTATTGTCAACACTACCTTTTGCCCAGGCTTAATTTACTTCAGGCCTGACAGTATCCCATATATTCAAATTGAGTTTACCACCAGTTTTGGAGGAGCTATGCCAAGGTAATTTCAAAACTAGTATCTTAAAAACAAAAAAACAAACTCATTGCCATCAAGTCAATTGAACTCATAACGACCCATCCTTGGGTTTCCGAGGTGGTATCTCTATGGAAGTAGATTGCTCAATCTTCCTTCCGAGGAGTAGCTGGTGGGTTTGAACCACCAACTTCTGGTTAACAGTAATATCTAAATATATATGATAGACTCCAAGTCAATCCACTGCCTAGTATTTTCCTAGATGTTTTCCAACTCAGTTAGGAGTCCCTGTGTGACAGCTAAGTGCTCAGCTGCTAATTGAAAGACTGGAGGTTCCAATCCAACAGAGGCACCTCAGAAGAAAGGCCTGGCCATCTACTACCAAAAAACATCTAGGAAAAATAACACTGCCCAGTATTTTCATAGATGGAAGGGTTACAAATCATTATCACTGACCAACACTGCTTGGGCACCTAAAAGATGGAATGTGCCAGGAGTTGAGGCACCAAGGACAGAGATGAAATGCAGCTCATATACTTAAGATGGGAAAAAATTCCCAGAGATGTCTGACATTAACAGATAAACAGAAACTACAGCCAATGAGAAAAAGAGGGAAGGCCTTACAGTCAGAAGGAACAATATATTTAGAGGGGAAATGCTGACACATATCTGGAGAAGGAAATGCAATCAATTCCATGCAGTTGTCTTCAAGGTGGACATAAAGGAATGTTGAGATGAAGTTGTTTAAACAGGGAAGGGGACAGACCATAAGGCCTTGACCACTGTATCATGGGATTCTGAACTTGACTTTAAATGGAAGAAACTTTATCCAAGGGAGTGTTATAGATTAGCTCTGTTTTGGAAAGTGTCACTTTGATAGATGTTGGATAGGAAAAGAACTAGAGTGGTGGCAGAGGCAAGTTAGGGGTGTGTGTGGACAGAGGAAAATGGAGTTAAAAGTCAGGTTTGATGATCTGACAGTGAATAAGAGAATGTAGCAGATGCCCTGGGACATCAAATGGAAATGCCAATTAAGGCTCTGGGATAAAAAGGTCTCTAGAGATGTTTCTTATCCCTTCTTATGGAATTTAAAAACCTAAAAGTAGACAGAATAGAAAAAAAGAACCCTGATTTATCCAACACTCAACTCAATTAGGAGCCCCTGTGTGATAGTTAAGTGCTCAGCTGCTAACTGAAAGGCTGGAGGTTCCAATCCAACCAGAAGCACCTCAGAAGAAAGGCCTGGCCATCTACTACCAAAAAATCAGCCAAAGAAAACCCTCTGGAACCCAGGTGTACTCTGACACAAGAGGTCCTCATGAGTAGCAAGACTCCACAGCAACCGGTTGGTTTTTTGTTGTTGTTGTTGTTCCACTTAAATTACCAATCTATCAATTTTGCATCATCTCTACCCCTCGCTCTGCACCTTCACCATTATTTTGAAGCAAATCCCAGAAATCTAGAGATTGTTCACAAGATACCTGATCTGTGGTGTCACCATCCTCTGAAGAACTTTCGCTCCTTTCCTCTGCCGCAAAACGAACTCTTTTCCCCGCCCTTTCCTTCTGCGCTTCCCAGTGTGCTGCTGATAGTTCTTTTTCCTCTAGGACATTCTCCTCCTCCGCGCTATCCGCTCCCTCTTCGTCTTCTTTCTTTTCATTTTCTTCTTCTACATCCTCCTCCTCTTCATTTTCTTCTTCGGTGTCACTCTCTAAATCACTTTCGGGGAGTGTTTCCGCAGCATCCTCTTCCTCACTACTGCTTTCATATAAGCCACAATTTTTCCCAGATTCCAGAGCTCCTAGGATATAGCCTAGCCCGTCGCGAGCAAAACTAAGCGGCATAGAGCTACTGTTGCCCTTTTTTTTACGCTTGTTCAAGCCGAGGCAACGCTCCAGCTTTCGGATCTCTCGGTCCTCTTCTTCGTTGGCAGCCATAAGCGCCAGTTTCCGAGCAGCGGCATTGGCGGCTGCGGAGAGTTTGGTCTTCTCCGGGCAACACTTCGGATTGGCCTGAGCTTTGGGAATCCTGGCTTGGGCCTTGGGAGCCTTGGCCTTAGCTTGGGGAGGTCGCAGCTTTTGGGGAGGAGATGGGTCTCGACTGACGGTTGCGTGAACGCTTTCCTCTTTCTTTTCAGATTGAGGGCCGACTGTTTCTTGGGCCGCGCCGCGGCTTCCTGAGCCTGCTGTCCATTGAAACCGGCGGACTTTCCTCAGGTGTCGCTTCTCCTTTTTTAACTCCTTGCGGCTTTTTTTTCTGCCCGGGCGGAAGCCTGATGGAACGCCGCGACCCTCGGCTTGGGACCCTGGGAGAGGTCCCTTGAAACCTTCGGGAGCCTCAACCTCAGGGGTCGCTTGCACAAACTCCTCCACTACCAACTTTAGGCGCTTCATGGCCCCCTTCCCACCACCCCCATGACCGCGGTGCGGCCCGCGCCCGCCTTTGCGCTTCATGGGGTCAAGCGCCCCTGTCAACCGACTGTAGTACTCTACCACATACACGTGGATGCAGCCATTTTCCTGGGGACCGATTGACGTCCGTTTTCCGGCCTGGGCGGGGCTGGCGAGTGGGGGAAAGACGCGGTTGAGCAAGGTGCTGGGCTGTGCGTGCCACTGTGCCACCTGCTGGCCGGAGGGCGGTCGGGCCCAGAGCCTCTGCTCGTTTGCTGCGTGGGACAGCTGGAGCAAATTGTGCCTATGTTTTCTTTAAGGCACAAATATTTTAAAAATGTTTTTAAGGCTACAAAAATACACTCTCATTTTTAAAGGTTTATGAAAGATCAGATTATGGTAAAGAAACCTCTTATCAACTTGCTCCAAAAATGACCTTGCCTATGGGTATTGTGTCAATCTTTTCAGACATTTTTTACATTTACATCCCATAGAAAAAATTAATGTTGTTTTGTGTATGTATTTTACATGAGAAATATCATACTATGCTTACTATTATGTAATTTGCTTTTTCCATCCAACCTCAGGGCCTAGAGATCTTTTCATGGTATCAAAAATAACTTAGTATTTTCTTAGAGTTGCCTAGTATTTCAGGTATGATGTTCTATGATTCATTTAGCGATTTCTATGTTGTTGGACATTTAATCCCGCCCCCCCTTTTTTTTCCTTAGAAACTATGCTTCAAGCAGCATCATTGTCTATGTGAATTTATTTGGGAAAAAGTGGAATTGCTGAATTGTAGGGTTTTCATTTTGAATATCAAACCAAACCCATTGGCTATCATCAAGTCAGTTCTGACTCCTTGTGACTATATACATAAGGTTTTCTTGGATGTAATCTTTACACAATCGCCAGCGCATTCTTCCGTGGTACCTCTGGATGGTTTAAAATAGCCAACAACAAACCATTTGCATCACCAAGGGACCTACTTAATTAGAGTAAAAAAACAAACTAAACTCACTGCCATTGAATGGATTCCAATTCATAGCAACCCCAGGTGGTAAATCTTTACAAAAGTGCCTGGTGGATTTGAACAACGAACCTTCTGGTTAGCAATCAAATGCCTTAGGTACTATGGAAGGTTGGGCAATCCTACTTCCCTAGTGATACTGCCTCCGAAACCCAAGGAGGGGTCGCTATGAGTCGGGCCGACTCGACGGCACATAACAACAACAACAACAAGGTACTATACCACCAGAGCTCCTGACTCAGTTTGAATAGATGGTATTTCCTTCCAATCGGACTCTCTCCATTTCTAGTCAGAGTGTGAATCCCCAAGTCTCCACACAATTTCAATCTTTAATATTTTTTAAAACTTTCTAATTTTTGCCAACTTGTTAAATAAGAATGGTATCTCATTGTTATTTTAATTCCTCTTGAGAATGAGCATTTTTTAATGTCTATTGACGATTTCTATTTCCTCTCAGGAGCTCTGGTGGCGTAGTGCCTAAGACATTTGACTGCTAACGAGAAGGCTGGCAGTTCAAACCCACCAGCTACTCCTCTGAAGGAAGGTTCGGCAACCTCCTTTCATAGAGATATCTCCTCAGAAACCCAAGGAGGGGTCACTATGAGTTGGATCCTACTTGACTGCAGTGCATTTTGTGTATTTCCTCTCTGTCTATGGTCTTTTCCTATTTTCCATATAGATTTTAGGAGTGCTTTACAAATAAAGGGTTGAGTTCATCCAGAGACATCTCAAAAGAGAAGCCTGGCAACGTATATCTGAAAAATTAGCCGTTGAAAACCTAATGGATCACAGTTCTGCTCCAGCACACATGGGGTTGCTATGAGTTGGGATCAACTGGTACTGGTTTATAAATAAAAATTTTTGAATGATTGTTTGTCTCTCGTGTGTGTAAATATTTTCTTCTTTTAAATAGTCAAGTAATTTATATTTAAAAATTATTTAATTTTTTAGTTGATAATACAGGCACAGCACAAAATTCAAAATGTGTAAAAGAAATAAAAAAGTCAAACTCCCTTCAGTTCCTGTCCCCTGGCCATGAGTTCTCTTTCCAGGAGGCAAACATTGTTGCTTTCTTGGGTGTCCTTCCAGGAGTATTCCATGCACAATAAATCATAAATATGGTTATGTGTATGTATACTGTTTCATAAATATTAGTTCATTAAATGCTGTTTTACATCTTGCTTTATCTATTTAACATTACATCTTGGAAACCATGCTACCAATGCATCTTTTTTTGTTACCATCCTGGTTCAAGCCGTCATATCTCTCCTATGTGTTGTTGTTAGGTGCTATCAAGTTGGCTCCGACTTACAGCAATCCTATGTACCACAGAATGAAATACTGCCCAGTCGTGGGCCATCCTTACAATCCTTGCTATATTTGAGTCCCTCGTTGCAGCCACTGTGTCAATCCATCTTGTTGAGGGTCTTCCCGTTTTTTGCTAACCCTCCACTTTGCCAAACATGATATCCTTCTTTAGGGAATGGTCCCTTCTGACAATATGACCAAGGTAGGTAAGATGAAGTCTTGCCATTCTCACTTGCAAGGAGCATTCTGGCTGCACTTCTACCAGGACAGATTTGTTAGTTCTTCTGGCAGTCCATGGTACTTTCAGTGTTCTTCCCCAACGTCACAACTCAAAAGCATCAATTCTTCTTTGGTTTTCCTTATTCATTGTCAAGCTTTCATATGCATATGAGGCAATTGAAAATATCATGGCTTGGGATAAGCACACCTTACGCTTCAAAGTGACAGTCTTTGCCCTTCAACACTTTAAAGAGGTCTTCTGCAGCAGATTTGCTCAGTGCAATACAACGTTTGATTTTTTGACTGTTGCTTCCATGGGTGTTGATTGTGGATCCAAGAAATATGAAATTTTTGACAACTTCAATCTTTTCTCCATTTACCATGATGCTGCTTACTGGTCCAGTAGTGAGGATTGTAGTTTTCTTTATATTGAGGTGTAATACCTAGTACAGACTGTAGTCTTTAATCTTTATCAGTAAGTGCTTCGCATCATCTTCATTTTCAGCAAGCAAGGATGTGTCATCTGCATATCAGGTTGTTAATGAGTCTTCCTCCGATCCTGATGCCCCATTCTTCTTCATATAGTCCAGCTTCTCAGACTATTTGCTTAGCATAGAGATTGAATTAACATGGGGAAAGGATACTATCTTGACACACACCCTTCCTGATTTTAAACCATGCATTATCCTCTTGTTCTGTTCGAACAACAGCCTACTGGTCTATGTACAGGTTCCTCATGAGCACAATTAAGTGTTCTGGAATTCCCATTCTTCTCAATGTCATCCATAATTTGTCAGCTGCAGGGATCCAGGTGAGGAGAGAGAACCCAGGCATGCCCAAAGCAGCAGGGCGGGAGAGAGGGAGAAAGG